TCTGCATTACGTGCTGTATCGTGTGGTAGTAATGATGTATTCTTTTTGCAAATGCTTGTTGTTCGCAACTTGCTGGGATGAGGGCATGATTTCATGTAGAATGTGAAATGTCAGTTGGTTGGACTGGAAAGGGTGTGAGAAATCACTATAACGCAGCGTGAAATGTGCTTTTAAATGCGAAACTGAGTCAAAAGAAGGGTCCCCTTCAAGGTAAATCACTATTTACTGTGTTTTTAAACTGTTCTTTGGGAGCTTCTCTAAAGGCCATTCTCATGTTCCTATCATTGTTACTAGAGGCCAGGATGCACCTATTCTTTCAGCATCTAGTGTTCATAAAATCAAATTAATTTTGCAAAATTCTTATGTTCTTTTGAAATATTAAAACATATTAAACATCTGCCTTTGTATTTATTAAATGACATTCTAGACAGCTCAGACAAGGGAAGCAAGCATTTTTTAAAGGGCCCATATCATGGAAAACTGATGTTTTCTTATAGTTTTGAAAAAAAAAAGTTTGATGTAGTACTTAAACATTGTAAAAGTTTCAAAAGGTACATTTCATATGTGGAAGCTAAGCTGCATAAAGAACCTGTGATGTCACAAAAAACAACATATTTATATGTATCTGCCTTAGGCTAAACTGCTAAGTCTTAAAGGCACAGTATTAAAAACAGCCTGTTTAATTCTGAAGTATAGAGAGAGGTCAGAAAATGGTCATGTGAAAATGATTTTTTTGCTAAATGAAAGTACATAAGTGTTATATGTGGTCTTTAGGGGGAAAAATTTAATACAGGAAAAAAATGGGATATGGGCCCATTAAAAGCTGACATTTTTGACCACCAGTACCAAACGGTGCTGGTGTCCAGTGTGTTTCTCACCAGTTATTCCTACTTATCTCCAGCTATACTGAGACTGTGCAGACGTCACAAAAGGATTTGAGGATTTAGTCTGGGATCAAAGAATCCCTCTCACATCAGTGAAAGATGAGCCTAACCTTTGCTCCAATGACCTTGTGACTCAGGATGCCCCCCAGCCACTATTCCTTTAAAAAGACAATAAGAAATCTGAGGGTGTGGCATGGCTTAGGTCCTCTGTGTAAATCACTAGAAGCTCCTCAAGAGGATGTGATCAACCCTGTTTGTGCAGTACAAGAAGAGAGTTAAGACCCCTCATTGCTATCTCATTACCATACAGTACTGTGCAGAAGCCCACCCTTCATTTACTGAATTTCCAGTCAAAACAGCCAGGTTATTCATTTTTTAGGAGAGATTTTTAAAGAGAACAGCTAAACGAAAATTAAGCTTCACTCTTACTTAAGATCAGAAAATAAAACAGACAAAAAAGAAAAATATTGCAATCAGCTGCTGCGAAGCAGCTGGTGTTCTCAGAACAATGGACTGCCCACCCTGTCCACTCAAAATTACTGTATGTGTTTTGGATTAACTGGATTGCTAGAAGCAGGAAATGCAACCAACTTCTAAGACTGAACTGGAGGTGGGAAAAATATTCCTGCAGGGTGGGCACGCTAAATACTGAAAAAACAATATTATATTTATAAGCTGAAGCTTCTGTGTTCTTAAGGGCTGTTTTGACTGAAATAAGTGAAGGGTGGTCTTTTACTCATTACTATATATTGCTTAACTCTTACACAACACAAACGAAAAGGTTAGAGGCACCCCAGCCTAAGTTGCAAATAAGGGCAGTTTTCCCTTTTCCCCCTCACTGTTTTCAGCCCCCTGTTTTCCCTGTAGGTTTAGGCTTGAGTCCAGCTATGATGATCTCTTGCCGAGGGTCTCTCACACCCCCTTCAGGGATCTGATCTCCCTCTTTCAAGATTAAAGACTCTAGTTCAGGGGTGTCCAATCTTATCCACAAAGGTCAGTCTGGCTGCAGGTTTTCATTCCAGCAAAGCAGATTACATGATCATGTATTTGACTGAAACCAGTTGATTAAAGCAGTGGAACCAGTTGAGCTTCTGCTTGTTTGGAATGAAAGCCTGCAACCGCACTGGCCCTTTGTGGGTAAAACTGGACAGCCCTGCTCTAGTTATTTCTGGACACGGTGTTGTCACTTCCTTCTACTTCTCGCTGCAGGCCTGAAGAGACATACTTCATATAACTCTCATTACCCCACTGTTGGTGTTTCACTTAAAAGACAGAGAGGAGCTCATGCACAGGTACTCATGAATGGTTTACGGTGTTAGTAGCATTTCTAACCACCAGATGGCGCCAGTAGCCTTTCAGCAATCTTTAAAAATCCAACCGTATCAGAGTAGTCCTGCTAAATAGCCCTCATGTGAAATGGTAAATAGATTCAATAGATTAAAAAGACTTATTTACAGCACTGAGGTTTTATCAATTCCTACACCTTTTAACCTTCTTTTCTCCTTTTCTCTTTTCTCCTCATCTCCTCTCTTCTCTTTTACAAGTATACAAATGCATCTGGTCGTTTAAAAAAGTGTTTCTCAGCACCGGTCCTTGAAGCCCACCACTCTGCACAGTTTAGAGTTTTTTTCTGCTCCCACCACGCCTGATCCCACTAATCAGCTCATTAACTAGCCCTTTACTGAGTTCAAGTGATCGTGTTGGAGCAAGGAAAACCTCCAGGACCAACAGTGAGAAACACATTTAAAGTATGTAACATTTTCTTTATGTGGCTACTACACAGGGGCGGGGCCGAGCTACGCGTTGGCTGTGCTATTTATTCACAAAACAAGCCAATCAGACACAAGAACTCGAGACACGCCCCTTTGTGCGCACGAGCCGCTTTCCATCTCTAAACAGTGCAGCACAGCAGAGAAGGCCTCGCAGCGAAGCGAGTAGAGATGAAAACAAGGTTTTCTGTGTGAAGTTTTACTTGAGCAAAGAGAGATTAATGTACACTGAACCGAATTCCATATCAGAACCACAACAGCGCTACATGAGCGTGAGAAACGCCCACACAACCGTTTGGATCATTATTTAGTTACCTTGTCAGCTAGTGAGCTAGCTTAGCTAACTTAGCTAAGTGAATATCGACAGCTTCACACGAAGCCGAAATCAGCCTCTTGTTTGAATTTGTCCGTTCCACCTTAAATGGTGCAGCATTTACATTCTGGCATCTGAGGCAGCAACATAGTGGAATATGCCCATTTAAAAAGCCAAAAGCAAATTTATAAAATGTCAGCTTGTGAAAAAAATTGCTGCGTTTTTGGTCTGTGAATTTGGTGCTCTTTTGGTACAACAGCTAAAATGGCTGTGCCAGAATGTCAAAGCAAATGAAGTCGTCAAAGGTAAGATGTAAATGGTCATTTAACAGTTTTTCATGCCCGCTGTGGCAGTATGCTTTAGTTAGGTTTTAAGTTCACTGTGTTGTTTTTCAGCATTCTGGTGTGTTGTGTTATGGCGTCTGTGCTAAGTGGATGCATGTTTTATAGTGTATAGTGTGGTAGTGTTAGTGGGGTTCATGAATCTACTTTGACAGAAGCTCTGTATTAGATTGAACAACAGCTTTGAGGCTGTGGTCTGATGTTATGACATTGCAGGACATAACACATTTGGAAAATATAACTACCCCTCCCCCAACACTATTTCACTGTCTACCCAAGAAGTTATTTCTGCCACTGGGCTGGGATATAAAACTATTTTTTTTCTGATATAGCCTATGTAATACATAATATAGCTCATGTAGTGTTTTCTGACTGATTAGACATACGACCCAATGATACACTTGTGCGTTTGAATCTAAGTACAAATTTTCCAAACACAGATATTTTGTACAGTTAAACTTTACATGTTGGTTGCTGTTGTTTTGCATGTTTCTAAAGTTTGCTCAGTGGTCGGGGGGTTGTACGGATAGTCTTCTATATAAATGAGAGCTAAATAGACCTGGGTGCTGCATGAACGTACCACCCTGCCAAAGCTACCTGCCATCCCTGGTAAAACTTCTGCCACAGTTAAAAACTGAAGCAGTTCATGAGTTTTTTGTCTTTGTGTATTTATTCTTGAAATATGTAATGTGTACTGTTTACTGAAAGATATTTTGTTGTTGAGAACATAAAATATAAGGTAACACAAACTCCAACAAACTCAACTGTAGAAGTTACTCGAGTGAGGAGAGTCAACGCCAGCGGTGTTTATTGATGTGTGTTGGTGCTGCCTACTATATATATTTGTACAGGGTGGTCAATTGGCATGAATTCTTCAAACGCAGTGTATCAAGATTGCGCTTAGGGGCCAGATCATCTCAGCACCACATTAATCTCAGCAGAGCTGTAGGGCCTGAATCCTGGCCGTGTCAGACTGCTGTGAAAAATGAGTAAAAGCCTCTATCAGCTCTCAGGTCCCCGAACTTGGCTCGGGTGTGTGCATGCGTTCCCGAAGAGGTGTACGTCAACTATCCCATGTGCAGGCCAGGAGGACGACCTTAATGCTAGAGTTATGTCATTTACAGATGGAGCATGCTAAATCAGTTTAGTTTATTACTTTATATCTATTAAATGAGATTAGTGATCATTAAATGAGAAAGAATAGTTGGTTTTTAGGGGGCCGAGCACTGGCAGCCCTCTGGGTCAGTTCATCTAGTGTCTTTTGTGTAGAAAGTAATCCTAAAGATGCTGATGCTTTGTTGGATGCAAAAATAAAATAGCCAGTTATTGTTATTGATTACAGGCCTTTCCATCATCAAATTTTAACAATATCTCAAATTTCTAACAATTTTACTTCTAATAGTGTGAAAGAACTCTCAAATTAGAAACTCTTCGGTTTATATCAGATCTATCTCTATTTGAATATTGATAAAAAACAATATTTTATCATGCAAAATCAATATCAGTATTGCTTATGGTTGTTTGATTTACTAAAGAATTTTGACATATTAATTATATCTGTCTTCGAGAAACATATTAAGCCTGCAGATTAGAAATATTTTCTCTATCAGCCTTATAAGTTAAAATCCAATGTAATTTGTTCAGTTCAGTGATCAAAAGAAACACAATTTGGGCTATTGAGATGCATCATTATGAATTCAGTGCCAAAGTTTTATGAATATGTACATTCAAACTGATTGTTTAATATTGAAAGTTGAATATTTCAATTTTAAAATGGATTAAGTGGGTTGTTTTCTGGAGAAGTGCTTGCGTACTACCTACATTGCCCATCTCAGATTTTACCTTTACAAAACCATCAAAATAACTCTCAGCTATCTTAGGTGTCAGACAGTTCAATAGCAATCTGTGAGCATGGCAGGATAAGAATCATTAAAGGAGGGATGAATAGAGTTGAAACGAGGACTGTTTGCTGGATGGTGTGTTTACAGGTTTGTCATTAAACATAATGTAAATCAAAAGAGGAAAGAGAGGAAATTATTTCAGCGTCACTAAATTGATTTGAATATTATGTATGTGCAGTAGTGTGAATTCTAACCATGTCCTTGGTAAATAGGGTTTTATTGGCTGTGGTGTCTGAGTGTCATTGTAAAATGCGAAATGCTCTTTATCCATTTGTAATCATTTTGAACAGAACAAGTTTTTGAAAAGAAGAACAGTTGATTCCAACAAAGTATCTCATGAAAAAAAGAACAATGTTAAAAGGGGTCTACAATGCGTTTTGTAACAAATAATATATATAAATGAAAGATGCGTCCATATAAACATTTGCATTCAAAGCAATGTAATTCACATCTCAACTACTTTTTGTATACGCACATATATATATATTTTCATATATTCATATATATGTTCATTAGTCATCACTTTCTGGACTTTTTTGAAATGAATTTGAATATGGGGTTATATTTGTCGTCATCGAGTTTTTGTGATACTGCTTTTTTACTGATGTCAGGACCATTTTTAGCCGTCTGACGTGAGTGCGGTGGCGTGTGGTCCTCAGCACCAGTGAAATGGCTGGTTTGTTAGGGGGTTAACTACTCCGTGCTTTCGTTAGTCCCTAAGCCTCCTACTCCCCCAGCCCCCCTCCCATCATCCACCAACCCCTGCGTCAACAGGAGACCGCCAGCCTGGGGTATATAAGAGACGGCCACCTCAATCCTAAAGCAGCCCAAGACACTTCAGCTGAGACCAGAAGCAGCTCCAGCAGCTCCTCTCTCTGACTCTGCTCTACTCTCATCACTTCTTCTACGTGGTTGCTGTTTTGTCACGTTCAGATTTGCCTTGGCAAACTCTCTCTTGTTCTCTCTCTCTCGTCTTTTCCTCTACACTCATTTTGTCAGCATGCAGCTTTTGGCCAGCTTAGTGTCTCTGCTGCTGGTGCTGTACAGTGTGAGGGCAGCGGCCGTGCTTCCAGTAGAGGAGAGGAGCCCCACGCACACAAGGGTGAGTCCTGATCACCTACTACTGTCCTTTCAACGCTGAAAAAAGTGATGCTTTCAGTTTATTTGATTATTTCCACATGCATAAAATATGACACCAACACAGTTATTGCTATAAAATAAGTAAAATGAAAGACTATGCTGATATATATTTTACTCATGTGGAAATTATGCATACATTTTGAATCAAGTAAATTCAGTGCATTACTTTTATGTGTTATGTGCACTTCTTTTTAAGTGCACTTGACATTTGTAGGTGTTTTATTTGGATTTTTTTATTGAATTAGCAACAAATACTGGTATTCAGGAAAAATGCGCTAATTTTCATTTACATTGTCTTCCATTTAAGCATTATTTTCTATCCTAAAGAAATTATTAAGCATTTACAATCCAAATAAAACCTGTTTTTTATGCACACTCTGTGCTGATTAGGCTACTAAATTATACAAATTTAGAGGCAGATTTAGAGCCACGTTGTGAGAATTAATCCACAACATGATTGCTTTATAATTCAGTCACTAATTAAGCACATTTGTTATCTGGTTCTAAGTTCACTTTGCCCAAAGTGCCCCCCTGGCAAAGGGTTGATGCCATAGAAGAACCTCTTTCGGTTCCCTGAAGAACTTTTCCATAAATGGTACTTTAAAGATTCATTTTGCCAACGTGGTTGAAGTATGGAGAACCTTTTCCAAGCTTAAAGAACCTCCACAGAATGTAAAAGCTTCTGGTTTCTTCTAGGAACCCTAAGAGTGTAATTGGCTTTGCTGTCCTCAGGAGCTGAGCAAAGAACGTAAGGAGCTGATTCTGAAGCTCATCTCGGGTCTGCTGGACGGAGTAGACAACAGCGTGCTGGCCGGGGATCTGGTGAATATGGAAGTGGAGGAGCCGCTGGAGTCACGGCTGGAGGAGAGAGCCGTCTACAACCGGTTATCACAGCTGCCCCAGAGAGACCGCAAAGCCCCCTGTAAAAACTTCTTCTGGAAAACCTTCACGTCCTGCTAACAGTGCCAGCCTCCTGACGGGTTCCTCCATCTGAATGCACACCGCCACCACCTCCTCTCCAAAGCCCCCCCGACATGAACTGTGCCCACCTTCACTGTACATACCATCATCACTGCTGGCGAAAGAATGGTCACCGTGGACTTTATTCATGCAGCCAGTTTGTGAAAGATACTAATGATTATATTTATTTATTTATTGACTGACTGATTTATGATTTATTTATTTGTTTGTTTCTCAACATCTCAGACCAATAAAGCATGGTTAAGTGATTTGCTTTTTGATAAGGGATGTCTCATTCTCTGTGGTCAACCCCCCAAAAAAAGCATCAAACTGTTTTATCCTAATGGATAAATAAACATATAACCGATGAAAGAGTCAGGTGCGTTGTCTTTTAATGAAGGGGCACTTAAAGTTGTGTACTCTTCTTCTTCCTGTGATGATAACACATATTGCTAGTGTCAGTCTATTCGGAAATAAAAGATGAAAGTGTGTGTGTGTGTGTGTGTGTGTGTGTGTGTGTGTGTGTGTGTGTGTGTGTGTTTCAAAATGTTACTTGTTTATATGGGATTATTCCTTATTTCATTACTACTTTATTCTGTTACAAAATGAATCATCTCTTACAATCACTTAAAACTGTAAAGCAGTGCACTCTGGACTACAGTACTAGAGACTTGGTAGAAAGCACTCCTGCTTATTCTTGTTCCCAGACATGCTCATAGCATTCTCTATTGTGAAATAACAGAGCATTTCATTCCGGCAGTTATTATTTAGTTTAAATAACTGAGATTCATTCATTTGTGGGCTTTGCAGAAGGTTAATTACTGCTCCTCAGCTGTGCTGAAACCCAGCATCTTTTAGAACAAACACTGTAATCTTCTGCAACTGCTGAACACGTTTAACACAGTATATAAGACCCAGCAGATGAGGTGCGAAATGTCTTTTAGGAAACACAAAATAAATAAAGGAATCTACAGTGAAAACAGGCATGGATGTCTTTCTGAGTAAAAACTGTAAAAAGAGCAGGGACTGTGAAGAGCATACCCCCAAACTCCGTCTCCCACTCTTACGTCTTTCCTTATGCAATGGCATGCAATATAATAGGTGTAGCGAGGAACTGAGCTGAGGCAGAACATTGCATTGTGGAGCCCAAATCACTGCAAGCCCTCAGACAAAATGACTCATCAGTATGAATTCTAATGTTCTTGGGAACTTTGTTTTGTAAAGTAGACTTCTCGAGAACAGGTATATATTCATGTGTGTTCAGGAGAATCCTCTCTGTTTTGTGCTGTAGTATCAATTAATGCAGCTTGCATTCTTTGGCATGATGCTATAGACAAACCACTTTTGTTTCCCTAAAGGACCTTTCAATGGATGTGAAGGACAGCTGGTGTTTACAAATTAGGACCAACAGCGACAATACACGTACATATATTTTCATATATTGATAAATATGTGAATTTACAGGCAATTATTTAAATAATGAAAATTTACACAGGTTGGAGAAAAACTGTCCACCGCTGTTTACGAGCTTGACCACACACTATGTGGCACATGCATTTTGTATATGAGGAAATGAACATACATTTTTCTTTGTTTGGAATTTGGTGCTTAGACTTCATAAATATTGACATATATTGCTTAAATACTCTAGAAATGCTAAAATATATGTATATATATTTAGCTCCATATTGAAAAGAACCATTTTAATGTTAAAAGAACCTTGTTTAAAGGTTCTACACCAATTTTCTTTCGTCCTGGAACAATACATCTAAGCCAAGAACCTTTTAGGAAACTGTAAGAGAGTAAATATATATTCTTATAGCTCAAACTGTAGAATATGAAGTTGTTATTAGTTAGAAAGCAAATAATAATATTTTCAGTCTATAAAAAGACATTTTTCTATGGGAAATATCAAATAGAAGAATCATTTTGGGTCCCTAAAGAACCTTTCAAAAAAAATGTCTTAACTGAGGAACCACAAATAGTTTGCTTATGGCTTCTATGCACAGAACTCTTTTTGCAACTTTAAGTGTAGAAGTAAATGTACATTTTTAGTTAGACTACTCAGATATCAGGGCAATATAAAGCCTCAAATTATTACTCACATATTCATTTCTTTTCTGCTGATGCTCAGTTGCAGCAGAATTCAGTGGCTCTCTGGATCAGGACCTGAGCGTGGTCAACTTTCTAAACCTCGCTCTGCAGAGACAACACTCAGTAAATTAATGACCACATAACAGCTGCTCACCTGGAGCTAATAAAGCGTTCTGTCTGTCACCTTTTCCAGCTGCTCCTCACTTCTGACCTCACAACATCATCCTGACCCTCTGTGCTTTAATCCTGGATGCCAGGAATGGCTGCCTTTGTTCCTTTTTCTCTGACACTGATACTGTCACTACGTTCTCTATTGTTAAGTCATAGACCTTCACAGATTCCAACTAGCATAACGTACTATTATTGCCATGTTCAGATTGCTATTATTGCCACATTGGAGTTTGCAAAACTGGGGTCCAAAAATTATGAAAGATATAGATAAAATGCAACTCCTAACAATTGTGCAAGACCTGCTAGACACAAAACTGTCACCATCAGATAAACAGTGGTTTCATCTTTGAAAGAGAGAGGAGAAAATCAAGCTCCACTCATGTTTAGATCTGAAAAAATCACAGATGTTTCTGTCCATCCTTCCACTGTGAGAAGACAGCTGTACTGCATGGGTCTGAAAGGATGTGTGGCTGTCAAGAAGGCCTTAATGAGAAAAGGAAATAGACAAAGAAGAAAAAGATTTGCACTAGAACACTTCAGAACACTGTATACTTCACTATGGTGTATATGGTGTAAGGTGTATGGACTGATAAATCTAAATGTATAATTAGGATTACCTGGATTGTGAGAGGCAGAAAATGCAGCCAGTTTTTAAGACTGAAAAATATCCCAGCAGATGTCTTTGACAAACTGAAAGCAAGTGTCCTGAAAAGAAGGAAGACACATTGAAAATTGAACAATTTAATACATTGGTTGTGGAGACTTCTGTGTAATTTTCTGTACATATCAGTGCTGCGTAGGTCTATTAGGATCAGGAACATTTAGCTGTCGATTTATTGTTGTGTAAATAATTGAGATTAATGAATGCAGCTATTGTACAAGGCCATCTTGGCTGATTAGCCATTTTGATTCCTAGCTATGTTCGATTAGTAGCTAATACTGCTTGTTCTGTTGAAAAGATAGTCTACACTATTGTGCATGTGCCTTAATACTCACACAAATGTCTACAGTTACACAGATTGTGGAGTCCAGCAAAGCTATAGCTTAGAAATGATGGTTCTTCAAGGGTTCTTTAGTAAAGAAAATTGTTCTATATAGAACCATGAACACTCAAAGCCCTTTGCATGATTAAAGAATTCTTTGTGTCATGAAATGGTTCTTCAGATTGATGGAGAATTTGTTAAAGGATTCTTTATAGAACTTTTTTGAAAATGGTTTCGGTGCGGTGTCAAGCTTGTAACAATAGAAGAACCCTTTTGAGTGCTATACAGGACCCTTTTCAAAAAGGTTCTATATAGACTTTTTCATGATGTAGACTCTTTCTTGATGCAAAGAACCCTTTAATAATGCAAAGAGTTCTTAGAGTGTTCATGGGTCTGTATAGAACCATTTTCTTTGTTAAAGAACCCTTGAAGCACCATCTTTTTAAAGATTTAAGCCTGATATCGTAACAATAGAAGAACCCTCAAAAAGATTCCACATAAAACCATCTACAGCACATTCTACATCAATCTAGAACATTTCCATGATGCAAAGAACTCTTTAATCATGCAAAGGGTTGTTTGAGAGTTTATGGCTTTATATAGAACCATTTTCTTTACTAAAGAACCCTTGAAGTGCCAACATTTTTAGAGAGTTAAGCCTGACATCATAACAACAGAAGAACCTTTTTGGTGCGATTTAGAACGCTTTTAAAAAAAAATCCGAATAAAACCATCTACAGCACATTCTCCATTAGTATGAAGAACCCATTCATGATGCAAAGAACCCTTTAATCATGCAAAGATCATGCATAGAACCATTTTCTTTACTAAAGAACCCTTGAAGAGCCATAATTTTTAATTGTACACACAAGAGTGAAAATATAATATCATTCTGCAAGCAGACATGACAAAAATGTAGAATTAGCTCCATAGTTAACAAATACACCAACATTACTCAGCGATGCACTCTAAACATGTTAGAGCACCAAGTTAAAAGTTCGAACTTTTTTGCTTTCATGAGCCTCATGATGTCTCAGTTAATACCTTTACTGCTTTCATTTATTCATATTTATTTACCTTGACTCCGCACACCCAGTTCACCTGCTTCTTGGTGCAGAAATCTAATGATTATGGAAAATGATTGTAGTTCTAGAAATTGCAATCATATTTTAAATAATTGCAAAAATCTCAAATAATTGTTTTTAGGCAATTATGTAATACTTATGACAGCCCTAGGACTGTGGAAATGTTTTGGGCACTAAGGCAAATTGTTTAAAAACATTTTATCTTGGCAATAAGTGTTTTTCTACACACTTTCACCTTATGACATTTGCATAAAAGCAAACATTCACCTCACCTTATTCACCAATATATTCTAAGTTTTTTCTTAAATTTGTTTCTGAGAAAGATCCTAAAAGATAGTCTACATCAGATTTATGACGTGTTCTTGAGTGTGTGTAGATTCTGTTCTTACGCAAGAACAAATCCCAAATAAGAAAACACTGGTGAAAGTCAGAATCTTCATGAAAACTATGTAAATGGGTTTTAAGAAGAAATTTCTTCTTAAGAAGGGTCGGTGAATAAAGCTCATTAATTTCTTGTTTTCAGAAAAATAGTTGATTGGTTGTGAGCTAGATAGAGGAACACAAGTTTGGTTACAGATTTATACGCAATGAATATGTTCGATTCCATCACAGCTCATGTAATTTAACATAATGGAGTACTGATTAGCCAAATTACTGCAAATAATACTGGGCTGCCACAAGGAGAGCTTTGGAAATGGTTAAGCAAACACACCCACATACATAACATACTCTACTTATTTTATGGCTGTTATTTACTGTATTTATAGTAATTTCTGTTTTTCTGAGCCAATCAACACTGACCAGATAACTTTACAGTACTGTACATGTGTGTGTTCATGTATAATTAGTGAGTTCAGCTACTTTAATTTGCAGTAGTTGCTGCGTAAGGTCATGATGCCCAATACAATGAGTTGTAGTACCAGAACTAATCGTCCAACATAAGTCCCTGACCTCACTAATGCTCTTGTAGCTGAATGCAGATAAATCCTTACAGCAATGTTCCAGCAGCTGATGTAAAGCTTTAAAGACGCTGTTACTG